CTCCCCTTCCCGGGGTGGCACCTGTGCCCTCCCCGCACCTGTCCCGGCCCTTCCCTCCCTCCTTCCTTCCGGCCGCCCATCCCTGCCCGGGCTGCCCCCGCCTCGCCCCGCCGGAACGGGGGAGGTTTCCAGGCGCCCTCAGCCCGAGGGGCGGCTGAGCCGGTGGGGTTTGCCGAGGGGGAAACAAAGCAACGCAAAACAAAGCACAACAAGCGTGGAAAGTTTCACGCATAAGTTTTTGAAGCATTTTCAGCCCCAGCAGCAAGAGGGAGTTTTCGTAACCTCGGGCTGCTGTAATTTCCGACCGAACCTGGTTGTCACGGTCGCAGGGCCTTTACTGACTGAGCCGAGTTAGTCATTAAATGTCTTCACACGTCCCATTCACTGCTCCCTGCATAGCTGTTGCATTTCAAATGTGCAAACTGCTCAGGGCGGACGCAACTGTCCACAGCATGAAGTGCCTTCCCTCTTCACTTGAGGGATGGACACGAAACCAAATGGGTGGTGGGAAGATACAACCCAAATGTATTATTTTGTTTTCTTTTCCTTGGAGCTGTGATGTCCTTTGTCGGAGGGGTCTCACAGGAACCGCCATCTCCTCTTGTGCAGGCCCAGGGAAGCTGCAGCAGGTTGGGCCTGTCATACCACCGAGCCACCTTATTTCAACAACTGCCGTTCAGGGCAGTGGTGAGCAGGGAAAATACAGCAATTCTGTGCATTTCAGAAACGCTGGGAAACGCCGCAGGAGAAAAACACCCGAGGGTTTGGGGGGATTGATTTTGCCTTCACGTTTAGCTTCGAAAGCGCCTACGAGGGTGGTCAAACGGGATTTTAGTTTTCAAACAAAACAAAACAAAACAAAACAAAACAAAACAAAACAAAACAAAGAAACAAAAACAAGACCCGCCACTAGACTCTTTAATCGGTCGTAAAAGCGGCAGCTGGGCGCGCGCCTAAAGCGCCGCGTAAAGGCCGCCGCCGTTTTCGGTGGTTGGGAGCGGGGGGAAAGCCGCCATGGAGGGGGCGCCAGGTAAGGGCGGCCGCTCCTGCCCCGCGGATGGCGGGCGGTTATGGGGAGACACCCGCCCCATGGCCCCGGGCCAGGCCACAGGGGAGCCCCCGGTCTTCCCCGTGCGCCGCGGGGCTGCCCCGGGCAGCCAGCCCCTTCCCTGCGCCATCCCCGCTGGACGTTACCGGCCCTAACTGTCTCTCCCCCGCGGCCTTCACTTCTAGTTTTGTAGGAAAATAGCCTTAAGTATTTATCCTTAATTCTGCAAAAAACTTGTGTTTTCTGTTCTCCTCTTTCTCTAGTCTTTTAGTTATCGTAAGAGAAAGAGCTATGTTCAGTATTGAAAAAAAAAAAAATCTAAGCTTTTCAGGGAAACTGTCTCCTAAACATATGTACAGGGAAAGAAAATCGGAGTTCACACAGATGCCACAGTGAATCTGTACTATAGTTCTCTGGATAGTGAAACCCAGTATCTGCGACCAGAGCAGACATTCCCTCCTTGAACATTCCTCAGAGTCTACACATTCAAAAATTGCCAAAGTATTCGAACGCCGTCAGTGTAATAACCTTCTATCACTAGAACCCACATATTGATGCAGGCTGAAATTTTCATGCCATCTTTCAGCCTAAAGCATTTTCCAGAGTTGCATTAATTTATAATGAAAACTAGTCTTAATAGTCTTAATTTTTGGAAGATAAATGATCTCTAATTAGTTGCAATAATTTGAAATTTTATAGAGCTTTTCTCTATGGATATCAAAACAGTTTGCTAAGATGGGTATTATTATCACATTTTTCACAAGAGATAACTGAGGCAGCCGGAGGTGAAATGTGAATACAAATTGTACATGCCATTCCTAGCTCTAGAATTAGAATTCAGGTCTCTGAACACTCAACCATAGGTTTATATAACTGATATGTAGCTATATTTTCAATGATTTCAGTTTTGTTACTCCCTTAAAAACTCATGTTTTTTTAACTATATATAAATTTATTTGAATTGTTTTCTGTTGATTTTTTTTTTGAATTTAAAAATTTCTGAATGTCTCTCTCAAATTTTTCCCAATGTACCTGAGGGAGAAAAAATAATTTTAGTTCTTAAATGAAATTATGTGTGAAAGTCAAACTCTGGTAAAGCCTCGGAACTGTCAGAAGAAAAGTAGGACAGATTGATTATATAATGGCCAGTGTACAATACATGTTTGCCCTTACCATCTTTCTGATAGCATTAATACACAGATACGTTTGAACATTTTCGCTTTCCTGAAATGCACCAGAAGTTCTTTTCTCAAATGGGTTCAGATACAATGCCAAGAACAGAAAATGCATTTTTAGGGACTTTGTTTTCTTGGTATCAAAGTTCACCTTACTCATAAAAAGAAATTTCTTTTGATTTTGGCAATATTTGCTCATCTGAACACTTAGGTTTCTTTAAATTCAACTCCTGACTTTTAAATTTGGATTTTTTTATAGCAGTAGTATTTGTAGAAAATTCCTCCAATGTTAATTTTAAATTGTTTTCTTTGGAAATGAACACTATGTTTGAAGTCAAAATGCAGAGCAAATTTAGAATAAGAGCGCTATTTACCCTTTTTGATTCTTTTGTGGAAGAGCAGAAAAGTTTATGTGAGATCCATGTGCACATTTTTAATTTGAAAAATTTAAATCTTTTCCATTCCAGGCCATAGTGATAAGTAGTGAGATTACATCACTGTAAAATGATAGTCCAAAAGCTGAAAAATTGCTTGGGTAGGAACTAAGATGTTTAAGGTTTTCTAGTTTTGTTCATTTTATTAATTTACTTACAAGGAATACTGAGTGTTTTGAAGAAGGTCTTAAAAAAAAAATCACCTCTCTTGCTTTTCCTTTGGAGATGTCAGATGACCTCAGACGATCTCCTGAGACCTTTCGAAGTTCACCAGAAAGATGGAGGAGTGTTTTTTTTTTTTTTTTTTCCCTCAAAGCTAAATATCTCCTGAATATATCAGAGAAGCCCCAAACATGCAAATCTCTCTTCAGCTTCTCCTGTCTGTAACTTCTACATGACTGTAGAAGTGCCAAAAACTGAGCCCTGAGTTCACCCCATAGAGTTGGACATATCCCTGGGTTAGTTGTAGTTTGCAGACAAGACGCAAATATTATGTTTGGAAATCTCAGAGCATTTGAGAGGAAATGGAAATATCCTGAATAGCAGAAGACAAGAATAACAAAAGTGTCTTTGCGTCACCACCAGGTAAAGAGAATGTGCCATCATCTGCAGAGGGACAGGAGGGAGCAGATAAGAAGCCAGCAGAAGGTGCCCAGGCAGATCATAGCAGTGTCCGTGAGTATTTGCAGCTGTTATATAGGGATTACAATACTGAGCCTACCACAGCTTCTAGCTTCTCCCACATCTTACCCACTCCCTTACTAGTAAATGTGAATCTTCAGTTGTTACTCCTGATGCTGTCAAGTTTAATGTTATCTCTGGTCTCCCCTCCAGAGAATTTCTGGGCTGGCCACTGTGTTTGCAGCTCCAGTTGCCCTTCAGCCCACAAAACCTTTTCCTTGACAATTCTAGCTTCTTGGAAATGTCTCCATAGCCAATACGGCAATTAATTCAGTAGTAATTCATCTTTGTGCTCCGGGTTACTAAATGTAAACTCAATCACAAGGGCCTGTATGTCATCTTTAACACTACTTTTATACTGAAATGCCTGTATAGGTACTCTGAATCCAGTGACCAGAGATTCAGCATGTCACCTAACACACTAGATTTAAATAACATAGATAACAGAATCTGCTAGTGACTCATCTGCAGAACTTTGCAAGGCTTATGCTGACACATTCTTTTTGTCATTTACTTGATCTTCCTATAATATGTATATAATATATATATATTTTTCTGTAATAGGATGTGTTTCTTTTGCTAAGTTCTAAAATGTGCTTATTTGAGGTCTGACTTTTCTGTAGACAACAGAACATTCATTGATGAACAGAAGTCATTTTTTTTTACTACTATGTGTTTATTTAAATATAATATAATAATACATATTCATTTAAATTCAGCATTTATGAGTTAAGTGGTTGAGTATATTCCTACTTAGTGATCCCAATTTTCCTTTGCAGGAGAAAGCAAAACTAACCTTCCAAAGGAATCTCCAACTGAGGAAGAATTGGAGCAAGTAGAATCTGACACTGATCTAATTCGTGAGTACTGTTTCCCACTGAGGAGTTCCTGGTGTGTCCGTAAAAATTCTCCTGCTTTCTACTTTCCTAGTTTGTCTCAGACCAGAGCTACCAAGTTACACCCAGTGAGTTTCTTTTCTTCTTTCTAACTGTCTTACCTTGTCTAGTTTGTTTCATTCTTTCCCAGGGCTAGTATCTGACTCTGATGTTGCGGAGCGTGCGTTGTATTTTTATTACTCATACAACAGTATCTTTGGTGTATTTTTCATATAGCATCTAGGAAAAAAAAAACAAAGGAAAACAAACAAAAAAAGGTGATTAAGTTCATAAAATCAAAATCTCCATCACCTTACAAAAAGATAGTGGAGAATCAGCCTGAGGAATCAAACTTGAAAGTACATTTAAAAAGTGCTTGTAACTAATTGGACTTCAAGTTGTGATGCTGTTTTGCAGTTCAGTAAAGAACTTTGCTTAGTTACATATTAGCAGTATCCCTATCTGCAACAACGGCATCTGATTGTAGTCTGTTGTAGAGGAAAGAGCAAAGAGTGTGTGCTCATTTTTTTAGTATAACAAAGTGCTCTCAATATCTGCTTAAATGAGACACCTTAAACTTTGTTTGATTTCCAAAGCTAAGACCTAAGCACCAAACAAAGCTGAACTGAAATTACTTACAGTATCTTAAGGTCTTTAGTTGCAAAATCAATGTCTTTAAAACACACTCAAAAGTTTTGCTTTGATTTCTTCAATGTTGAGCGTTCACAGTAAGGTTTTTAAAAACCTAAGGGGGAGCTTGTTACAGAATGTTCCAGGACAAGCTGTTACAAAGACATGATACGCCTGTTTTCTGCTACTGAGTACATAATAGTGTGTTAAGAGAGCAAGGAATCTAAGAATGCTTCATTTTTGCAGTTAGGTGTAAGCATCTACAAGAAATCTAAGATTTACAACTATTGTAACTTTCCTTTATGTTCCCATTTTGGAGATGCAGAAGATGATGTGGAAGAGCAGCCCGATACTGAAGTAAGCTCAGAGCCAGAAAAAAAGCCTGAGAAGGTAGAAAAGAAAATCTCAGAAACTTTCTACTATAACTATGAAGATTTATGCTCACGGCCATTTGTCACTGAAGACTCTGGGATTCCAATTAACCTTCTTACTCTTGAGTATCCTTTCTGTTGAGGCTGTGCAAATTTAGAACTAGGGATTTCTTAAGGTATGTTCTTAAAATTGCACTTGCCTAATTTTGAGTACCCTATGTGGCATTAGTGGGATACCTGTGGATGAGACACTGGATGGTCATGGTCCTGGGTAAATTTATTGTAAACATAATCTTGATCTCAACAGAATTTTTCGTTGTGCATAATGCTTACTCTCATAAATATTCCCACAGAATCACATCATGACCAAGTTAGTGGACT